GCTTTATCTTGGCTTGTTTGGTGTTACGTGTGTTGCCGCCTGCTTTGGGCGGCTAGTTTGTGCTTAACCCCTGTTTTTGGTTCCACACCGGTTGGTCACAGTGGCGTGAGGAGTCTAGCTAGCCTAGACGATTGTAACAAATCAAATCAAATCAAATCGGCCCCAGGGAGTCTTGCAGCTGCAGACGCGGTAACAAATCATCATCATCATCATCATCATCATCATCATCATCATCATCATCATCATCATCATCATCATCATCATCATCATCATCATCATCATCATCATCATCATCATCATCATCATCATCATCATCGGCCCCAGGGCCCAGGGCCAGGCATGTCTCCTGGGTGTGTGCAGTGCGCCGTCATTGCTCTGTCTGTATATCTGCAGCTTTATCTTGGCTTGTATGTTGTTACGTGTGTTGCCGCCTGCCTTGGGCGGCTAGCTTGTGTTTAACGCCCTACCTGTTGTTGTTTCACGCCGATTGGTCACAGTGGCGGGAGGAGTCTAGCTGGCCTAGACGATTGTAACACAGCAAAGCAAAAAAATTAGTCGGCCTCCTCCACCGGTTGGTCACAGTGGCGGTAGGAGTCTTGCTAGCCTAGACGATTGTAACAAAGCAAAGCAAAGCAAAAAGTCGGCCTCCTCCTTTTTTTTGTGTGGGCGTGGGTGCTTGCTGTGCTGCGTGGTGGAACGCTTGCCTGCTTGCCTGCCCTGCCCACTTTTGGAGGCGGAGGCGATGGGCCGTGGGACCGTCGCGACGGCCGTCTCTCGATGATTCTTGCAGCTGCAGACGCGGTAACAAATCATCATCATCATCATCATCATCATCATCATCATCATCATCATCATCATCATCATCATCATCATCATCATCATCATCATCATCGGCCGTGGGGCATGAGTCTTGCAGCTGCAGACGCGGTAACAAATCATCATCATCATCGGCCGTGGGGCCGTCGCGGCGGCTGTCTCCCGATGAGTCTTGCAGCTGCAGACGCGGTAACAAATCATCATCATCGGCCATTTCTTGGCCAACATCCAAGGGAACCGGCCCCGTGCGGCCCTGCCATCGGCCGGCGCGGCCCCAGTGGGGGGCGCTGCGCGCAGCGAGGCTTGCTGTTTTCATGGCGTTGTATTCATGTTGTGTTGTGTTTTACGCGATCTGTCCATTTTGTGTGTCTCGGGGTGTGGGGCTAGCGTCCATGCATATATTCATCGACACGGCAAGGTGCACTGCGGCACAGGATGCGTGAGCGTGGGTGAACTGATTCTCCCTGCCCTACGGCGGGCCTGCTGGGTGTATGTGCGGCCCCGTGTCGTTGGCTGAAGAATACCGTGCGGTTTCGGGGGCCTTGTGCTTTGGGCACCTTGTTGGGACATTTGCAGCAGGGCAGGGATTTGCAGAAGGCCAGTAGTGCTGTCCCAGCGTGGCGGCCTGTGCAGCGGGGCCGAGCGGCGTTTTTGTGGAGTGGCACACTTGGCCCTCGGGTTGCACCCAGTGGGAGGAATGTAGACCCTCCAGTTGCTCGCACACTTGAAAGGCTGGGAGCCAGCGTGAGCTGCAATTAGCAAGTGCGATGCATTGATTGGCTCTGCGGGTCGCGCAGCCGCCTTTTGACTGAACAACGGGCATGCGACATCTGACGCCTGCCTGGCTACTGGACACATTCTTCCTGACGGTAGTGCTCGCTTGATGAGCGGCTGTTCCTCCACACACTTCGCCTGCCAGGCCAGTGGATTTTGGCTGCATGATTGCGGCAGCCCCTTGCTTGCTGCGGGCGTCGGGTCTGGTGCAGCTTCCTATGTCTGGTACAGCTGCGTCTGTGTGGGACTGTTGTGTTGCCGGTTCTTTTATCGCTGTCTGGGCGGCAGCTGCACGTGCCCCTGCGGACTTCTCTAGGGCACGTACAGCTGCGGGCGCAAACGCAGACAGGTTTGCGCCGTAGGAACTTTTGTCGACCGGGCTTGCCTCATAGCTTCGTCTCCCATGCTGGCCCTGTCAATTCCGTATGCCACAGCCGGCGCATACGTGCACTTCACAGGGGCCATTGGAGTCCCGGCGGCTGGACTCTGTACGGTCGAGCTGATTTTGATTTTGAGAAGTGTCAAAGTTCAGCTACGGTAGCAAACGACAAGCCATGTGTTAACAGAAGATGATGCCTTGCTTGAGTGCCCGCATGACAAAGGAAAGGTTGTAGCAGAACCAATGCGTGTGTCATGTCACACCCATGCAGGCCACTTGACATGCAGGTGGACATCAGGGGCGGCCCTTCATGAATGTGCTGGGGCCGCCTTGGCTGGGCGCTCCGAAAGGTGATAACATGTGTCCCAGGTCACCCCCACCTTGGGAGTGCACTCCCAAGGTAGCAAGTGTTCATGCAAGAGGCAAAGCGACACTGCTTTGCAGAGGAAGCAGACATTGTGCACGTGCTGGGCATGCGTTGAGCGCATGGTACAAATCAGGATGGCCGCATTGGGCCAGGTCTAGCACGCACCATGCGGGGCATCCGTAAGCGCAGCAAGATGTGGGCCGCACAAGCTATGAAGACCGGAGCATGCAGCTGCGTCCCTCAGAAAACCGCATGGACGAAGCGCAGGCAGCGACGAAGCTGCATGTAGACGCACTGCAGCCACCCTCAATCAAGCTGATGCATGCTACGCGCGGCTCACGACATGATGCGCAACGGCACTGCGTGCACTTGCTCACTGCAGGCGTATCACAGCCCGCACGTCACCACGAGTAGCCTGCCAAGTAGAGAATGGGATAAAGTGAGGTCAGCGCCGTGGTGGGAAGCTGCCCGTAAGAAGAGGGTGGATCAATCCCTGTGGAGGCACCACTTGGCATCACGTGGACCCAAGCGGCCTCACCTGGCATTCCAAACCACTCCCAGCAGCGGTTGAACTCGGGGTACCTGCACAACAATTGACGCCCGCGGGGCCGGCATGAGCACTTTTTATGCCTTGCCTTGACAGGGCGAAAAGAGCTAACCCCACAGGGACAGCTATGCATCCCCCCAGTGCATGCTGGTTTCCCGCAGGACGTGCTCGTCACTGTGTCACGGGATCCTCACTGTGTCGCGAGAGCGTATGGGTCTGCAAAGCAGAACCCCAAAAGCATTCAGAGCCCACCAGAGCCAGCCATTGGCCTGCAGCGGAGGCGGGACATACACCGTTGCGGGCACTCGCGCCCGAGGTGCCATCTGCGCCACCAGCAGCGGCATCTCCCTCATGCCGTGGATGTACAGGTCCTGCGTGCGCCTGCATGGGCAGAAAGAAGTGGGGCAGGCTCAAGCCCCACTCAATTTGCAGGATTTGCCTTGAACTGGATGTAGCGGTGATCTCTCGGCAACTCCAGTGCTGCCATCCCAGGACGGTGCACTCACTTGTAAAAGGCGAGAAGGGAAACGAGGCCAATAACCCACACCAGCGTGGCCTGTGCCCATGCGCGCTTCACAATCATGACACATCCTACAGCGTTGGTGGGGCAGAGGCGTTGATGTGTACGGATAACAAACAGCACAGCAACCCGCAACTGCACTGCACAACCACAGCTCAAATTCCAACCGCTGCGGATGCCCACGTTGTATTGTAGTAGGGCAAGCACTCACCTGTGAACGCCACCATGACGGCGGCGCACACCATGATGCGGTCGGCCACGAAGGGGAAGAACTGGCCACCGCTCTCATACTGTGCAGACCAGGAGTTTGGGCGGTGTGCATTGGTGAGGCTGGTGCTTTGCCGACCACACCGCTGTGCTCCCACAACGTAACGTGAGAGCACGGTGTCAAACAACGCCCTGCCCATGGTCAAAACAGGGCATGCCATCCCGTGACGCCTCGCCCCAGCCCACCTTGCGCTGGTAGTTGTAGATCAGCTGGTACCTGGCGGGCAGGTGAGAACACAGGTTTGAACAAAACAAGCAGGGGTTCCCATGCATGTGAGTGGGCAAAGCGCAGTCTGTGTTTAGACAAACACAACCTTGCCGAAAGCGCCTCAAAGCGCTTTGCAGGGCCTCACCTCCAGAAGAGCCACTGGCCGAGGAAGAAGAACACTGTGGTTGTGGCGTGAGCGGCGTATGCATATGGGATTTGTGACGACTTCGCTGAGGGAAAGAGTTGTGGCTAGGAGGTGCTCATCAACGAGGGGACTGTTGCGGTTGGACACACGTCTGCATGCTTCCCCGCAAGGAAGAGTTGTGGTTAAGGGAAATGTTGTGAGAAAATTTTGTAATGGGTTCGACTGCCTTACCCCCAAAGAGCGGCAGCAGGGGACAGATGACAGCGAAGGCAAAGCAGATGAGCAGGATGAGGCAGGTGTTGGCGCCGTACTCGACGCCGTAGCGCGGGGAGCGGATGGCGTTGCGCATGAACAGTGTGCGCTCCGCCACGTGGTCGTCGCGCATACTCTTGGAGAACGGCATCAGCCCAATCCTGCATCAGCACATGCCAAAGGAAGGACGAGACAAGAACGAGATGACAAGCTTAGTGTCAAGCCACTATGGTGATGCACCTCATGAGTCTCCAAGCGGGCCCTTCCATCACCCCTGCGCACCTGATCCAGGCCTGCCACACTCCGGGCTGGGTTATGAGGAAGCGCAGGGGGATCGTCATCAGGGTGCGCAGGATGAGGTAGCTGAAGAAAAACCTGCGAGGCAGCGGCAGCCTGGCGTTAGCACGGGTTCTGGCGGGTGCCACTCATCAGGTATGGGCGGTCTGCCGGCTGCAACTGCGGGGACGATACAGACAAGCCAGGCCGAGACCAAGCCTAGATCAAGATGTTATCAGCTTGTGTTCAGGGCCGTCTGCGCCAAGATGCACGCCCTACTTGGCTGTGGCTGGAGGGAGCAAAAAGAGAGGTCGAAGGGAGGGGAGGCGCCTGTGAGGCACCTCTTCGAAGCCGTCTTGACAAGAGGTTGGCTGTCCTGTACAGCTACAGGGCTGCAGAGCTGCAGCACGCCGCACACTTGCCCAACAGCATATTGAAAGAGCCACCCGTCCGCCCCTGCTCACCTGGCAGCGCGTAGCCCAGCAGCTGTGGGGTCTCAAAGGGCTTGTTGATGATCTCAGGCACCTGGGTGCAGCAAGGCAAACGGAGGACGGCAGCCCACAAAGCAAATGTAGTGTCTGTATCAGATTAATTTGCACTCAACTCACGCAGAAGTGTCGGAATACAATTATGATGCAGACATGTGATATGGTGCTTTTGCTGCCCGGCGCCCAGGTCCCCTTATCCCTACGTCCTGCCAACTCACCCTGGCAAGTGCCGTGCTGCCAATGACGCCGCCGCCGAAGAAGTTGAAGCAGCCCCACAGGCTTGAGCACAAGGCGGAATGGGGGTGGAAGAGGAGCGCGTTGGGGCACCAAGCGAGCGCGTGGAACGCCAGGCGGTGATGCCATTGGCCCTAGAGATGGTGGTTGCTGCCAGCGGCAGTGCCCCCAGCTAAAACCTGATAAAGACATGTGCTTACAAGTAAATGGAGCCCATGCGGCGGTCCAGGTCACTCAGACTGTAGTGGCATGCCTCGGACTGAGCTGCCAGGTAGACCAGTCGCGGCATCAGTAGGCCCTGTTGGGAAGGGGCAGGTGCACAGGGCCAGCAAGATCAGGATGTGTCAACATCGTATACATGTCTGTGCACGTGTACACCACCCAGACCACAGGAAGACTTGCTGGGTGCTGTGCACCCAGATTGAGCTTGCAACCATTCGAGTTTCCGCCCTGCCCAGCTGTGCTCACCCCTCCCTGCCCCCCCCCCTATTCTCACCTGCCAGAGCTGTATGAGCAGGGCGGGCACGAAGCCGGTGAGCACGGACCTCAGGATGGTGAAGAAGCGCATGCCGCTGTAGCAGTAGTCGTCCCACCGCAGCTTGGTGTTGTTGGCCGAGCAGAAGAGGTCGTTGAGCTGCGTCATGGCTGAGGTCAGCAGCGACACCGGCAGCAGCACCAGGACCACCAGGAAGGGCGTCACGTAGAACGCGCGCCGCACGCGCTGGGCGTGGGTGAACCACAGCGCCTGCGGTTGGGCAACGGGCAGCAGGCCAGGGGCATGTCTGTACATGTGTGCAGGAAGTTATTGCACCGCCAACAAGGGCGGTGTACATGAAAAGGTGTGAGAACGGAGGAGTGGGTGCTCACCTCCCAGTTGACCTCCTCGGGGCCCGGCGCAGGGAACACCTGCAAGTGGACGGTTGCGACGCCAGGGCAGAAGTCATGCCGAGCGTCCAATGCATTTAGGGGGAGGAAGCGAGGGGGTCGCAAGATGAGCGTGTGCTCAGCACTCCCTAGCCATCATGAGCAACGTCTCAAGTGGCGCCATCACCTTGAAGAGCTCTTTCCTCAGGGGGTGGATGTTGCAGGACGAAGCGATGGCCGCAGCCTTCTGGGTCCTGGAGTGTAAAGGTGAGGCGGCGGCTACGCCTTTCACAGCTTGAGCTGAGCACGCGTCAGCGCCAGCACATGATCACAAGCATTGAACGCTCCACATCTGAGCGGACGACGTGTGGCATCCCGGGTCTACATCCGCCGTCAAGCCTTTGAAGAGTAATAGGTGGCCAGAAGGCCGAGCAGCGGCCCACCTGAACAGCACAAAGGAGGAGGGCGTCGAGTTGAACACGAGCGCCCTGTCGCGCGCCTCCAGTACTGCGCGCTCCAGGCGTGCCACCTCTGCCACCAGCCACTCGATCTGATCCACAGCCCCCCCGGACCCCTTGGGCCTGATTGTCTTGCGCTTCCCGCCCAGCGCCACAGCACGCTCGGCCGCCTCCAGCTGCCCCAGCTTGATGTCCCTGAGGGCCAAGGGAGGAGGAGGGGGGGTCGAGGGAGTCAGCTTGGCCTCCGGCAAGCCGTGTGCATGGCCTCAGGGGCTGGAGGTAATCCAGACTGCAGACGGCCACTCACACTGTGCAGATACGAACAACGGACGTTTCTGTGCAGGTGGGCATGGCTGAGGTCGCCGCAGTTCAAACATGCAGGAACCCGATGGTGCAGCGCAGAGTCTCCATCTGCTCACCACTGGCGCATCAGCAGGTCCGTCTCCCTGAAGTTGAACACGGGGACGACCTGAGGCAGCATAGGCAGAGCGGCCATCATGGCGAGGACGAGATCACGGCCGCGCAACTTCATATTGCTCAAGGACCAAGTCCATGCCAAAGCAAATGTGCCCCACGTGCCTCAAGACGAGTGCGTCCCCCTCACCCTGTCAAAGTCGTCCGGGAAGAGCGCGGCGAACACGGCGCCGACGGTGGAGTACGTCTCGCTGGTCAGCAGCCGCCTCACCCGACCAGAGCGCACCGCAGCACGCGCACGGCCCCAGAGCTCAGCTGCGCGCCCAGGGGCCACCGCCCCACGCCCCCGTGACGCAGACCAGGGCGCCACACCCGCTGGCAGCCCGGCCTCTGCCGCCTCCAGCGCCGCCACGGCCTCAGCCGCCTGAACCGCCGCCTGTGCGTCCTTGCCAGTCACAGTCCTGGGTGGCCGGGAGGCGTTGGCCACCGCCCGCTTGCTAGCCTCCAGGGCTGCGGGGAATTGCGGGAGGCAGTGAACCCTAAAAACGTTTGCGGGAGCCACCGCCGCCTTTGATAGCCAAGGCTGCAGGGGCGTGCTACTCCAATCAGAGGTGGCGCGCCGACCAGGCCGCAAGCAAAGGGACACCAACAAATTTTTGTGTTTTTATGCGCATGGACCCACCTTCAACAAACTGCCTGTGGCGCTCCCCGAGCCACACGTCATCGCCGCCGTACTTCACGTTGGGGTTGCCACAGATGCCCGCACCCAGGACGGGCCTGGAGTACGGTGAGAAAGCCGCGGTGTGCTTTACGCGTGTGATTGAAAGCAACAGCGTGGCCCGCAAGGGCGGCATTCTCCACAGCTCAGGCGACAGGCTTCAAGCTGATTCTGCTCTGTGGTTGCAGGCGAGCTGCCCTCGGCCCAGCTGTCCCCAACTGCCTGCCCTCCCAGGATCCAGACTGAACACCTCATGTGTATGAAAGCGTCCAGCGCCCACCTGTCCCCCTGGTACTCGGGGTAGACGGGCTGGTTCACGTTTGTGACCAGCACCGCATACTGCTGCGCGTGGACAGACGTGGGACGGCCCGCGTGGTCGTAGGTGTTGACCGTCTTGCGGTAGCGCACGCTGGGCTGCAGGCAGGGTGGGCGCGGGGGAGTCAGGGGGGGACAAGGTGGTGCAGGCACAAAGTCAGCAGGGAGCCGCAGCAGGGCGTGCGCTCGCCATGGCCGTGTTGCCGACATGCAAGGCCGAGTCCCTCGACCCCCAACCCCTGGGCCCTCCCCCCCGCCCGCACCTTGGCGAGCAGCACGTGAGCCCCCGCAATCTCCTGCTCCGCCTTCTCATCGTCTGTGATGCGCCTGAGCTTGCCGTCCTGCGTGGTCACCACATCCACCTGGTGGGGCGCCGAACGCAGCGCCGTTTAGAGCAGCAGCGGGGGCTTTAGCACGCAAGAGCAATGAGGCTGGCATCAAGCAGGGTCAAAGGTGCCATGTGCCGCATGGGGCGTGCCCATCGTTTGGTGGCAACGCTGCCGCACACCTTGGCGCCTGTCACCCTGCCATCCACTTCCCTGCCAGTTGTGCCCCAAATCACCGTGCTCCACCACTTGGGGGCGGCCATGTGGTTGAACTCCTTGTCACCAGCCGCCAGGGTGCCGCCCGGAATGGCAACGCCGATCTGCTCGGGGCCAACGGCCAGGCCGCCGTTGCCCTTCCCCACCGCTTTTGTCTCATCCCCTGCTTCAGCAGGCCGCTCGGCACCCTCCCCGACAGCCTGAGCTGCGCCAGCGGTGCCGCCGCCGCCGCTTGTGTGGCGGCCCTTGGTCTTGAGCCTCTTCATGACGCGGCCCGTGGCGTCCGACTCTGTGAGCTGCTTGGCTAGCTCCACCACATCCTCCGCGG